CATCAGGAATCTTGGCATGACCTTTGACCCAGCTCTCACCCTGGATTCTCATGTCAGTTCTCTTGTTCGCTCTTCCTTCTTCCATCTCAGGAACGTTGCTAAGCTGAGTCCCAATCTGTCCCGCTCTGAACTTGAGACAGTTCTCCACACCTTCATCTCCTCACTCTTAGACTACTGTAACTCTCTTTTCACGTGTCTGAGCAGAACCTCCCTGAACCGTCTACAGGTGGTTCAGAACGCCTGTGCTCGGCTTCTGACCAAGTCCTCCAAACACACCCACATCACCCCGCTTCTCCTCCAGCTTCACTGGCTGCCAGTCAACTTCAGGGTTCATTTCAAGATCCTGGTTCTGGTCTATAGGGCCTTACATGGACAAGCACCATCTTACATTGGTGATCTTCTTAGTCCCTACACCCCCAGCAGGTCCCTGAGGTCCAGTGACCAAAGCCTACTGGTTGTGCAGCACCAGGCTAAAGGTCAAAGGTGACAGATCATCTGCTGCTGTGGCCCCCAGACTCTGGACCTCTCTCCCCCTGAGCCTGAGATCAGTGGACTCAGTGGTCTCCTTTAAAAAGCAGCTGAAGACTCACTTGTTCAAGCTGGCTTTTGTATGACCTTCTTCACCTCTCTCTCTTTATTCTGCTCTCCCCACCTATTCCACCTTCCTCAGGATCCACTGATTCCCCTCTTTCCTGTTCACTCTCTCTCTTTCTTAACATTTTTTCTTTTAAATCCCAATTGCCTACTTTTGCTCATTTTAAATATATTTTTGGGCATTTTCTAATTGCTTTTTTATGTTTTTACATTTTTTTGCATTTGTGAAGCGCCTCGTGATTTTTATCTTGAGAGGCGCTATAGAAATCATATATTTTTTTATTTTATTTATTTTTTTACCACCCAGGGCAGCTGTGGCTACATTGTAGCTCATCACCATCAGTGTGTGAATGGATGAGCCAGCTTTAGATTGTATGGTCAGTATAGGAGGCTTGGGGTGTTTATCTTAGCCATTTGTAACACAAGTGGTGTTTGTAATGTCTTGTTGCAACCTGTGATTTCTACACAAGTTTAATCATCAAAATCATCAAAAAAAATTTCCATTGCTGTTTTAACAAACCAATCAAACTCACAAAGTATTTGGTTAACACAACCCCTGTAACCAACACAACTTGTGGTCGTTCCTCAAGAGCTGAAAAAACAAAACAAAGCTAAGCTAAGCAAAACAAAACAAAACAATACAAAACAAAGCTAAACAAAACTAAAGCAAAGCAAAGCTAAGCTAAGCAAAACGAAACAAAATGAAACAAAACAAAGCTAACCAAAACTAAAGCAAAGCACAACAAAACTAAACAAAATAACTAAAGCAAAGCAAAGCTAAACAAAACAATACAAAACAAAGCTAAGCTAAGCTGAGCTAAGCTGAGCTAAGCTAAGCGAAATGAAACGAAACCAAACAAAACAAAGCTAAACAAAATAACTAAAGCAAAGCAAAGCTAAACAAAACAATACAAAACAAAGCTAAGCTAAGCTGAGCTAAGCAAAACGAAACTAAACAAAATGAAACCAAACAACACAAAGCTAAACAAAACTAATGCAAAGCAAAGCAAAACAAAGCAAAACAAAACAATACAAAACAAAGCTAAGCTAAGCTAAGCAAAACGAAATGAAACGAAATGAAATGAAACAAAACAAAGCTAAGCTAAGCAAAATGAAACGAAATGAAACAAAACAAAACAAAGCTAACCAAAACTAAAGCAAAGCACAACAAAACTAAACAAAATAACTAAAGCAAAGCAAAGCTAAACAAAACAATACAAAACAAAGCTAAGCTAAGCTGAGCTAAGCTAAGCTAAGCAAAACGAAACGAAACCAAACAAAACAAAGCTAAACAAAATAACTAAAGCAAAGCAAAGCTAAACAAAACAATACAAAGCAAAGCTAAACAAAACAATACAAAACAAAGCTAAGCTAAGCTGAGCTAAGCAAAACGAAACGAAACAAAATGAAACCAAACAAAACAAAGCTAAACAAAACTAATGCAAAGCAAAGCAAAACAAAGCAAAACAAAACAATACAAAACAAACCTAAACAAAACTAAAGCAAAGCAAAGCTAAGCTAAGCTAAGCAAAACGAAACGAAATGAAATGAAACAAAACAAAGCTAAGCTAAGCAAAATGAAACGAAATGAAACAAAACAAAACAAAGCTAACCAAAACTAAAGCAAAGCACAACAAAACTAAACAAAATAACTAAAGCAAAGCAAAGCTAAACAAAACAATACAAAACAAAGCTAAGCTAAGCTGAGCTAAGCTAAGCTAAGCAAAACGAAACCAAACCAAACAAAACAAAGCTAAACAAAATAACTAAAGCAAAGCAAAGCTAAACAAAACAATACAAAACAAAGCTAAGCTAAGCTGAGCTAAGCAAAACGAAACGAAACAAAATGAAACCAAACAAAACAAAGCTAAACAAAACTAATGCAAAACAAAACAAAGTGTAGCCGAATGGTAAAATAATATTTCCCACTGTACAAAAAGTATTATCTTTAATGTGTTACAAGAGGCTTAGTATGTTGCTTCCTTTGTGTTACAGCTGAAATAGTACGGGGTAATCGTGTAATGTTGTTTATTTTGTTTATCTGGAAGTTTGACGACCATCCATGTTCCGAGTATTGATATCCGTGAGCAGATGAACCGTTTCATTTCATTGTTTCTAAAAAATAAAATCAACTGCACATTAAGAACCCCAGTTATTGTGTACCGTGAGACCAATATCTTACGGGCCACACAATTTTTGGTACCAGGAGTGGGGTGTGCATTAAAAGAAAAACAATTGTAAGGAAACAAAGTGGCGATTTGTATGCAAGAAATACGGCAGTGGTGAAGGCGTCAGGTGCCATCCATCAACGTGAGAGGACATGTGGAAGTGGTGATCCTGCAGAGTGGCTGTTTCTGCCTTTGGACAGAGTTCATCCGGATCTACCTTGTTCCAGCAAGCAAGATCTACTGGTGCAACCAAAAACTTTGTCCACAGTATCCTTGGGACAGCAGAACTTCCTTAGGTTTTGTTTTGGAATAAACTGGACTGAATTAGGTCTGGCATTTACATAATGTCAATTGCTTCAGGTGCTGGGGATAGTCCCAGCGGTAGTGATTCTACAAGTCATGGCTCTTCTGAGCCAGCAGGAGCAAGTAGTGCTCAGGTATCCATGAGATACAAGGACAGCTCCAAGAGCTCATCAGGTTAGGAGGTGATATCATCAGGCTAAATGATGAAACCAGGGCACAAAGAGACATTTATGTTCCACGTGAACGGCAGGTCCAAAGCTTCTGTGGGGAGTGGGAAAAGTATGGAAGGTTTGTTGAGGAATTTATTGAAGCACAAAAGAGATCCGTTTTCTATCTATATTATATTATTTATATGGACTCAGTATAGCGGGGATTCTTTTGAGCAGAGATGCAGAGAGCAGCAGGCAGACGGCTGATCAGGGGCGGATTTAGGACTGAAGAAGATCTGGGGCTTAACACACACGCGCACACACACACGTGACACGCACTAGTCAACATCATATATATATATTTGTCTTGTACCACATAATGTTTAATCTGAAGCTACATATTCAGCATATTCAGGGCAGAGTATTGTTCCTGTTAGTGTTTAGTGTGAGATGATAGTAAATATTCCCTTTCTTTCTCCAACAACTTTACCTGATAGCAAGCTAACTTTAGGCAAACCAGCAGCACAACAAATATTTTCAAATAAGACTCACAAACCTGAGTCAACACCAGTCTCATCAAAGCTGGGGTTCTGTCGCCGTACTTTTGGTCTAAAAAACGTCCTTATGTCCATCTTCACTCATGCGTTTCAGGCAGAGAGTGTAGAAGAAGCCGGCTGCTGAAGGGCTTCTTCTTCAGTGGTGGAGGCTCAGGCAGGCTGTATACAAACTACTGCCAGCTGCTCCCTCTCTGTTGGACTTTGGTACTGCATGTTACTTCCGCGATTTAGATCCGGGGCTTTCTATGAAACATCCGGGACTTCAGCCTAAGTAGCCGGGCCTAACGCCGCCCCTGCGGCTGATTATTCATGAACTCCAGCTGCGTTCTGCACACGGCCACAGTAACATTTTCTAAGTTTCTAAGTGGCGTCACCAAAAAATATATAATTAACACACAGTCGTTCGTGTCCGTTCATTTTCTCTCTGGTAAGTTCTGTCTGTATTTGAGCGTGACGTGTGGACGCGCTCGTCACTGGCGCAGCCGGGCAGCGCGGCGCACACTCCGCTTCTTTTGCGGTCAATAGATCAATTTGATCTGCTAGTTAAAAGGTTACTTGTGATGTGAAAAAGAAGGAAGCAGGCAGGAGTTTTTCTGGAGGACTGGGAGATGCAGGAAGATCAGAGACAGACAGGACAGGAAGAGAGGAAAATAAAAACCAAGAAAACAAAACAAAGTTCTTAAAAAAATAAAATGTAGGTAGATTGATCCCACTACGTTAGTACCTGTATAAAGCAATAACTTATCAGCATGTAGTTTTTATATAGCTGATACAGTTCAGATCATCTTCAAAACTCCGTCCCATGCCCAGGGGCGTATCTAAGCATTTTGGGGGCCGAGGCAAAGTAGACCCCTGCCAGGTATTTTAAGTTGAAGTGCTGTTTTTATATTAGACTTTTTATATTTGCAATAAAGTCCAAATGTGAAGAATTTATGTTATTTATTACTTGGTTGTTCAAGCTACCTCACAGAAGTGGTCTGTTGTTAAAAATTAAAATAAAAAAGGTAATTGAATAAAAAGTAAGGAACATTCTGGAACTGTTTCTTCCTTTTCTTTTTAATGCATCGAAAGTATCGGATCGGGACTCGGTATCGGCAGATTCTCAAAATCAAATGACTCGGACTCGAGGGCCAAAAAACCTGATCGGGACATCCCTAGTTTTTGTAATACAGTGTTACTAATAACATTAAAAAGGTATAAAAATAATTACAGAAGGACTCTGAGAAGAGTAGAATATGGTAATATTGTAATAAAGAAAGCAAACAAGAAATTAGAAAAACACATTTCATCAGTTGCATGAAAGAGTAGCGATAAAAACTTTACACAAGTTTCCTCTAGTCAGCTGACATCACGCCAGACATGAAAACAATCAACGACCAGAAATGTCAACACAAAAAATAAAAACGTAAAAATATTTCTATTTACAAGTTTTAATCACAGTCGTTTTTAAACAGTGGTGTTAAAGGTCAAAGGTCAAGTTTCTACATTCTGACCTGACAAATCAACCAGGATCACAAGATCCACGAATTTAAAATCATTTACTGATGTCGTTTTATTTTTACCTGGTCAGTTTTAACCTGTAATATTCACACGAGGAAAACAAAGCAGGCGCGTGCTGGTCATCTTGATTTGAGTAATAATGGTTATTCCATGTTATAAGGTCATTCTGATGTAGAAATAACGTCATTATAAACAAACAAAACCACATTTATCTAAGAGGACATTAGCTTCTTGCACTTTAATATTTCATTCTGCTCAATTTTGACCTGATTTTATTGTTTCTGGAAACTGGATTTAATTAAAAAAAATTTCTATTGATAATTTACTTTAATAAAACAATTTAGAAAAAATAGAACAACTCAAAACTAAAAAACAAATCTTCATTGACTAAAAGATCCAAATAATCCAGATTATCTTGAGGAAAATAAATGATCATACCCTTCTGGTTTCACATAATCCAAACGTATTTTAGATGTTTTTCCCTGTTAAGCTTAATAAGCATCAGATAAGGAGGCTAAAGGTGTGGGTGACTGTTGGGTAAAAGTGAACAAAAAACTTTCTGTTGAACAGTTCAAACATTCCTCTCCCGCTGCGTTTCCTTGTCGGGTTAATTATTAAAACACAACAATGATCGGCAGCTTGGTTCTGTACACTGACAGGATTTTAGAGCAGAACTCAAACCGCTTAAGGCCCTGTCCACACGTAGCCGGGGATCTGCCAAAACGTAGATATTTTTCTACGTTTTGGCCTGTCGTCCACACAAAAACGGAGTTTTTTCACACGAAAACGGATCTTTTTAAAAACTCCGGCCAAAGTGAAGATCTGCGTTTTCTCCGTTTTGGGTGTCTGCGTGTGGACAGACAAAACCAGAGTTTTAAGGTCCGCAACGTCACTTTCCGCGACAAGAAAATGCTGACATCACGTGTGCGACCTGTGTTTACACTAGCCGACAGCATGGATGCCCTCAGAGCTGCGCTCGCTTTATCAATTGTCCAAGCGCTTTTTGCTTGTTTGTTTTTGCAAGCGGAATTACTGCTCCTTGCGGAAGACCACAGACGAAGGACGAGGTTAAGAACGGGGGAAGTACTGCCGCCTACAGGTCTGGCATGTCCTTAACAACGTATTTATCCGGGTACGTGTGGACTAGGCCTCAACCTCCAAGGCTCTGCAGCATTATTTCTGTGATTATTAATGGTGAGTTTGAAACAAGAGGTGTGTCTGAGAAGGAGACGGGCATTGATTTGGCAACAATAAGCAGCGTTCCTTTGCCAAAAGTTACATGACAGATTTGTTTACCACACAGAACCAGGAAAGAGAAGTGCTTCTTCTGCATTCCCTTAGAAAACCAGAGCGGATCTCATGTGACGGTTTTCTCAGCACTCAGACAAAAGGATATGAAACCTGAGGAAAAGCTTTCAGCAAAGAACTTCAGTGATTTGCCTCTAAGCTCAAAGTGTCGTTCCTAATAACTATTAATCTTAAGAAGTACCAACGAATCAGTCCTGAGCTAAAGGTCCCTTCATCGGTTTAGTGATTCGGCTCAAAGTTCCCCTGAGGCAAAACAAACATGGTGAGGTCAAATCCATCTTTTTGGCTTTTTAAGATAAAATATGAACTCCCGTGTGAGGAAACCAAAGAAGAAGAGCTAAAATAAGATTCTAGTGACCATGGACGTAATTTTCACTTTAGAAGTGGGGGGGACATGTGTGTGTGTGTGTGTGTGTGTGTGTGTGTGGGGGTCTTTACAGTATGTTCTAATGGGAAACAGGCTTCAACACAAATGGTTGTTTTCTGCTTGGTCCTAGAGCTCGAGCAGTGACAATTTAATATAAAGTATTGGTAAAAAGTGCAGGGGTGAAAACTTGACTTTGGAGAAAGAGGGGGGGACATGTCCCCCCTGTCCCCCCCCAAAATTACGTCCATGCTAGTGACACAGGGATGGCTTCATCCCGAAAAACCAACACGTTCATGTCAAAAGTCTCATCTTCAACACAAAATAAAGAAGCTAAAACGTTAAATAAAAAAAGCAAATCTGATAAAAGTATTTAAGTGCAGATCAATTTTAGCTGCAGGACACAAATAAGTGCTTTTAAAATATGATTCAGTGTCTTCTGATGAACTCTGAACAAAAAGGGAGAGCTGTTCTCTAGCTGCCAAGGGCTGGAGTTCCTGCACGAGCCAATTATTACACGTGATCTGGATTCTGCCGGCAACAATCGGCCCCGACTCCGAGCCCGGCTGTAATTATCATCGTAGGGATCTTGAGGTTGCTTAGCCTCACTTGGCATGCACATCTCCTCCTCCTGCTTTACCACAATCACATTTAAACATGAACTCCGTCGTGGGGACTTGCTTAGATTGGGCAAAACGTGAGCTCGGAGCTTCTGGTCAGTCAGGTAACCATGACGATGCACAGCAGGAAAGTTCCTCTAAGTGTGACGATGTGAGGAAGTAAGGAAATGTTGATTTCAGCTGCAGGCGGTGAATGTGAATATACATGAGCCACTTGGCGTCTCCTGCAAAGAAAATACCAGAACATTTAGACCAGGGGTGTCAAACTCATTTTAGCTCAGGGGCCACATCGAGGGAAATCTAGTCCCAAGTGGACCGGACCGGTAAATTAGAAACAACTTCAGATTGTTTTCTTTGTTTTAATACAATCGATATAAAACAAAGCTGGAGCCTGAGGACAGTGTATCCAAAATAGTACAAGTACAACACCTGAAGTGTTCTTGAAAATTTGAAAAATAACTAAAAATCAATAAATCAAAAAAACAATCCTTAGTGATTCAAAGAGCTTACAGATCACATGGCTAGATCAGTTCCATGCAGCACTTAAAGTATATTTGACTCATTTTACTTTACATCTTTTAGCTTTCACCAGCACATCAATATCAGAAGTCACATCCTGAGTGGCGGCCAACTTCAGGATGTGATTCAAGTTCTTGTGTGAGCCTTGAGCGCAGCTTTGTTTTATTTATACTCATTACAGAGGAAACTTGCACACAATGATACGTTTATTTTCACTCTACATTGTAAAGTATGAAAATAAAGTTTACACAACCATCTCGCGGGCCGGATTTAACCCGCTTGCGGGCCAGATTCGGCCCTCTGGCCGCATGTTTGACACCCCTGTTGAAGAGGGGTTCAAAAGTCGTTTCCATTGTTCTCAGAGCTTCGTGATTACCTCAGGCAGTGCTGTCCAGGGGATCTGCAGATAAATGAGAAGCAAGGAATCACGCTTAATAAAATGTTATTAGTTAAACACGACTGGTCAAACGAATCAAGGCATACTGACCGGCCTCAGAGCCTCTCGCGGGGCCCTCCCGATGATGCGGAGCTGAAACAAATTACGACCTCATGTAAGTGTTTGTTGTACTTTTAGAGTGGGTGGATGTGAAACCACCCCCACACGAAGCAAGTTGATATGCAGGCGTAAACAGGCAGCCGGCGTGGGGGGATTAAATACAAGAACGGATATTAATTACACAGAAAAATAGAAATGCCAGAGGAACTTTTCCCAAGACAGAAACTCAGAAACCCTGTTAGTGATACTTGGTCTGTGATGATCATGTGACCCAGCCGCATTTTTCACTTGTCTAAACGGGTTTAGATTCAGATCAGAAATCGCTCTGTGGTTAGGGGGTCTGGTTTTTATCGTCTCTGAAACCGACTCATGGTTGAGATGTTGGAAAGTCTAAAAAATTAAATCCAGCAAGAACGATTCTCCACGTCCACTTTTACCAGCGTAAAGGTGTCAGAAGGTTGGGTGGTTTTAAACAGCTGTTAGAAAGACGGCCCCCTGAGGCTAACGGAAGGCTTTGGACCAGAGAAATGGTCACAGTTATATATAGGAACACTTTAGAGCCCACATAAAGGAGAGTAACACGAGGGGTCTTACGGTCGGACGTACCCATGAGCGGTGCAGCAGAGAGCCTCCGGGCCTCTGTTAAAGATTTGAAAAGGCAGAAATTATTGACCGTTTGACTTTTTATTGAGACATTTTATTATTAATAATGGAAAAAAAACTTCCACTGTGGATTAATAATGTCTACTCTATTCTTAAATAGGAGTGAATTTGAATACCTGAGTTGGACTGAAGTAAAAGTTTCCAGTCGTTGTGTACTACGTGATGATAGGAGGTACTTTCCAAACCAGTCGAGCTAGTCAACCTCCTACCAACCCTCCCTCATAACTTTTTTATTGTTCCAGGAAGGAGGTGATGAAATCTCACTCACATCACCTCAGAGAATGTCAGCAAATTAATAACACACGGTTAATAATTGGCTTTGGGGGCTGTTATGTTAGGAGCCAGCATAAACAAGAACGGTCAGAAAGAATATTTTAAATATACTGTCATTTTTATTAGAATACTTTTTCTACATTTTAGACAGTTTTCTTCCCACTGAAGTACAAATGTTTCGTTTATAATTTACGGTAAGGAAGGTTTACGGGTTTAAAGGATATTCTGGCCCTTCTGTAACATGTTTCTGTGTAATAATGATCCTACCCGTTTTATATAACTGCCTGAAAACTCAGTTCAGAAGATTTTACTTTAACCCTCTGGAGGCAGGCGTTGCAGATTTGCAACGTTAAAACCTACCTACCTGTAGGGATGGGTACCTTTGACATTTGAATCGATCCGGTACTAATTCCCGGTACCTACGAATCGATACCGGTACTTAACGGTACCAATTTCGATACTTTTGAGTGTTTAATATTTTAATTCTCTTTTATAATTAGATATATATTTTTCTCAATATATAACAATATTTGATAAATATCACGATAAATAACATTCAACTGTTTGTATTTTAACATCGTCCTTGTAGTTTTATAAGCTGATAATTAAACTGAAGCAAACATCTTTACTGTGAACTAAATTTACTGTGTATCTTCATTCCTTTTGCCGTCTTTTATCATTTGATTTTTCCTACTGGGAAGTTAGAATTTCCGAGGAGAAAGCGAACGCACCATTAGCTGATAACAATGGTAGCAATGGAAGCTAAGCTATCAAGCTAACGTTATCTTAAACAGTTTATTTAGCTGCTGGAGCAGATTAAAACGATGATGCCTCACACTTAGATCGTTGTCACTGGTTTCATCTTCACCCAATCACCCGTCGCATTTAGTAAAGTGAAGCCAAACTTTAGAGCGCATTCATGTTCTTCTAGTCGGGAATTCGGAGTTCCGAGGAGAAAGCGAATGCACCATTCGCGAAACGGAAGCTAACATATCAAGCTAATTATATTTACCTACCGGAGCAGATGAGGATGTCTCACTTAGATCGTTGTCGCTGGTTTCATCATCACCCAGTTACCCATCACATTTAGTGAAGTGGACCCAAGCTTTAGCGTGCGTTCTTTCTACCATGCTGCTCTGTTTACAACTGGTTCGCAGCGACCGACGACATAACGCTCTTGCGCATGCGCAGCTGTCTAGGCAAGTTCTCGTTATGAAGGACGGGTACCGAAACGAGGCACCGTTTGAAACGACGTGAATCGGTGCTCGGTCGGTACTGTGGAATTCGGTCGGTACCTTAAAAAGTACCAAATTCGGTACCCATCCCTACATACCTGGTTACTCCACATACGTATTTCAGGAGCATTTTTTAACTCAGAAGTAGCCCTGTAGGACTTATTTGTTCGTCCTATTATCAAAACCTATTTTGAGCCTGAGAGGGTTAATCCAGTGTTTCTCAATTAGTTTCTGTAATGATACATTTAACTTTTATAGGTATTCTCCAGCGGGGAAGGGGGGGGGCTCCTCTGCCATTTTCCATTCAGGGTTCAGGGTTTGTGATGCAATCCATTATACCTTGTTGGCCCATGTTGCAGAAGGATGCATGATGCATCCTCAATAGGATGGGTGCATATGGGTGGCGCAAACACACAACTGGTAACTGAGCGTACTTGCCATGGTGCGTACTTAGGAGTGGAACAGTACTTGGGCCAATGTCAATGACGTTGCACAATAGCGTGGGTCCACAAGTTCAGACAGAAATGGCCCAGGTTCCACAGTGGATTATTTTCCCAGCATGCACGCAAGCCTGGCAAGCCAACACCCCACTGAGGGTTCTTGGTCGTGGGGCGGGTTTCAAATGATTTCCGCATGCTACTGGACAATGAAGAGTGTGACTTACTCACCGCAACGGATGTCGAAACAAGGCGAAAATACATACTTTTTCTAAATAAGGACTTAAATACATCTATCTTCTCCTGATTCTAATAAAGCCCAAGTCCAAATAGTCCAAAGTTGATGTAAAAGCTGTTTCAAACAAGCTGCTGCCATCTTATCCATCGCATCATCCTGCCCACCAGACAAATAGAGCGCCTTGATTGGCCCACAAAGCCGATAGAGCGCTGTGATTGGCCCACCAGAATGCTGCTAGGGGCTGCAGAGGTTCCAATGGAGCGTTCTCAGACCAAACTTGACTTTAGTCTAGTTCACTAGGCTAGCAAGGACCTATGTTGAGGTTTGTATTTTCCAAGAGTTGTGCGCAAACTCTCGTCACGCTATATGAGATGATGGTGAATTATTGATACCAAACATAATCGGAGGTTTTAAGAGTGATTTCACATTTTAGATTGAATAAATACAAAATAATTCAGTAAAAGAAACGTTTAACACATACTGTTTTTTTTAGATGTGAATAAAAACAAAACCAGGTGTGATTGAGAAAATGCAAAAATTTGTGAATAAGGAATATCAAAGTTATTATAACCAAAACTCAAGCAATGACTTACGCTGAGCTCGCCTCCTACGAATCAGCAGCAGTAGCAGCAGCCCCACGATCAGCGAGCCGATGACCAACACACCAGCAACGACATTGGGCGTTTTGACCACGGGTGATGGTGTTCCTTCAAATCCTGTCAAACAAAGACGATGATGACAGGTGCGCCATCGATCACACGAGTAAACAGCCCTCTGAGATTATAGTGTAGATAACCGGTTTAGATTTTCCATTAAGCTGTTTCTCTAGATTGCATCATCATATCTACCCTTTTAAGACTGCTGATTGAGAAAAGCATCATATGAGAAACATGCTGCAGCCTGTTTGTTTACCCGCTAAAAACCTGCAGCCAAGTCGTCAAATTCTTCCTTTTAATCTTGAATAGAACACAGTCGGCATGAAACCGAATGGAAAAAACAAAACCAAGACTTTATAAATATCACCATTTTCGTTAAACGTTTACAAGACTTGTGTATTTTCATGATCCACACCTCTCCTACACTTTAAACAGTCTCCACACGATCTCCCACAACTCCAAGAAAACATCCGCCACAGTTGGGCAAGACGTGTTTATGCAACAGCTGCACCTGGAACTCCAGGTAGAGTTTGAAAAGACTAGAGCAGTAAGTTGTACCTAGAAAGTTCGATGTCTGGATTTTGCCTTCATTCTCCTTGCCTCCGCTGGAATTGAACACAATGCAGGTATAGTTGGAGAAAGTGGATCCATTCAGCGAAACCAGCTTGCTTGACAGCTCGAAGAGGCCATTGTCCATCGTTTTCACCTCTGTTTCAGCACTTATGGTCTCATTGTTTTCGTCAAACCAGCGGATTGTTCCTTTTGGGTAGCCACCAGATGCTTTGCAAAGCAGAGCTTCCTTTGAATTTGGGTTTTTTTTCTCTGGGACCAGGCTCACATTTGGTAAGCTGTATTTGGCTGCAAACGTGGAATGGGAAACAAAGATTCAGAGACGAACATCATAACATTCCCATGACAGCAGTAGAAAAGCTGCATGAAGCGTGATCACTGTGAACTTTGACAAGTAAACATACATGACTGCTTAACGTTTGTAGCAAGACTGAATTGCAATGTTTTTGTTTTTTGTTTAAACAAGTCTCTCCATCTTCCCAGTGAGAAGAAAGATAATCAGTGATGAGTTGAACGAGTCCAACTTGTTTATTTGTTCCCAGTTGGGTTGCAGCACTGGAAAGGACATGATGCACAACTTCTTCCACAATAAGAGCCTCCAGTCAAATACACAGTTTTTGTGTTTTTAAAAGTATTTTTGCATATTTTGTGTGAAAATTGTGATATAAATGCTAATCATGAGTTCATACCAGGGATGTGTATTTTTTAAATTATGGCGATACAATACAAATCACGATATAGGGGAGACGATACGATATATTGCGATACATTCAGTCAGACGTTACAAGCAATTTTTTTTACTGAATTTATTGTAAGAATGTTCAATAAACAGTCCAAACTGATACGTAACATGTTTAACATGAGGTATCTGAACCATGATGGAGGGATTTACATTTCATTGGTGGAAACAAAACCTGTTGCACAGTGCTGCCAACTAGCGGGTGGCGATTGAATTGCACAAAACAAAAAGAAAATACACAAAAGTTTGCATGTAAATTCTTTCAAGATTTAGATACACGGCTTTTGAATATTGATGTAATAATCGCAGGAAAAAATATCACGATATATTGCCATATCGATATTTCCGATACACGGCTTTTGGATATCGATATAATATTGCTGGAAAAAATATCACGAAATATTGCCATATCGATATTTTCTTACATCCCTAGTTCATACCTGTTCATCTTTAGTCATAACAAAACAGAAATTGAAAAAAAAGAAAAAAAATGAAAGCTCTGGCATTATTTAACGTTTCATTTGAATCAAACTCTTGACTCCCAAAAAACAACCTAACTCAGGCTTACCTGTGACTTGAAGGTCCACATCAACTTCGTCATCACCACTGTCTGTGTACACATAGCAGGTGTACTTCGCCTCGTCTTTCACCTGGGTGTTGGTGATGAGCAGGGATATGTTCGTGTTTTTGCTATCCCACTCTGATGAGAAATCAGCAAATCTGTAGCCAGGCCAGGTACCGGTACATCCCTCGTCTTGATGACAATTGAGAAATGATTCTGCATCTCCACTCCTCTTCCATTTAACGTTGACGATGTCTATGTCTGTTGTGTCTTGAGTAGGTTTCACCACACAGTTGAGCAGTGACGGCTGGCCAATCTGTCCCACAGTTCTATCATTACATGCTATTTTCACAAAACCTGGACAAAGATGGGAGGGGAGGGGCGTTACAGGAGTCACGGGCAGTTTTTTTGCAGTCTGATGAGACCTGATGTCAACCAGAACTTACCGGATACACCAGCACCAGCAGAAAAAAGGAGGACAGAGAGAACATAGAGGGCTGCGTGGGAGGCCATGTTTCTTTCTCTGAAATGACATTGATTCATTCATTATTTCCATGCAGAGAGATTTAAATGCAGCTGTGATGTAAACCTGCTCATTTTAAAGCGTAATGCCAATGAGTGCAGATTAGTGATAGGCCAATGAAAACAGCTGGACGTTTCTGGATATGTTGGAGACATTCAGCCTGTCATCCCAGAGGCTGCTTCCAGACTTTGGTTGTGGTCAGAAACAAACACACTGGTTGTGCTGCAAGTCTTTTTCTTTTTTCTCTCCAAAACATGTTTTTGTCTAATTGAAGGTGATGCTGTTGTTCATAGAGTTAAAATTCATGTTGAAGTTAAGATTATTTCATCAGGTAGGACCTGTGGTTAGCTGGCTCATGTAAAGCATGTCATGTCTTCAAAGAATCGGAATCAGGAATCGATAGGAACCGGAATCGAAACGAGGAATTGGAATCGTTCAAAATCAAACGATGCCCAACGCTACTCATTACTGCCACCAACTGGATTGGAGTGGAATGACTACCAATCACTTCCTGTTAGTTTATCTGCGTCTTAAAGGCCCCGTGTGTGAAATTCACAGAAATCATAGTAAAAAGATCCGACTCTTTAGCACCACGCAGTTTAGAGTCGGTATTGCAGCTATTGGAGCCCCCGAGGATCAAAAAGGGTTTTTTTAATCATTATTTAAAACTTTATTAACAAATATAACAAATACAATACAAAATCGTGTTGCTGTAAACGGCAGCATGTCATCATCTAATTCCAGCTTTCAAGTCAGCGAACAGGTTAGTTGTTTTCATCTAACTTATTTTATTAATTTAATCTAAATAGGTTTTGAATAAGAAAAACTTTTTTATGTCAGTTATGTTTGCTAATAGCAAATGGCAGCTAGTTAGTGATGACTTCTGACTACAAAAAATGACAATATTTTGTTCATTTTATTTGAGAAATGTTATATTTCTATTTGCCATTTTGGAAATATACAAGGTAGTGTAGTCTGTAATTGTTTTCTCTCCGTAAACAGAGTCAGATATCATCCGATGGTTCATCAGTGGAGACAGACAGAGGACGAGGGAGAGGAAGAGGGCGAGGAAGAGGAAGAGGGAGAGGAAGAGGGAGAGGACAGACGTGTGCCAGCGCACAGAGAGGCAGAGGTGTTAGACATGCGACAGAAGCAGGGCAAGCATCCCAAGATGAAGGAGCCGAATTTGCTCAAACCAGCCGCAACGTCCCACGCACAAGAGGAAGAGGCAGAGCTGCTCAGCGTGTCTACTGAATCCCTTTTGTAACATGAGGTCTCTCCATCTTGGGAAGGCAACTCCTACATTTACTCTAGTTTTCTCATGACGCCGGTCTTGTTCACTTTTCAAAATCCTTTTTCTTTTACTTGGATGAGACAAACTATCCCGTTTCTCAAGTTTGCTTGTAGAATATGTGTGATCCTCCATCGCTAGAAGTACGGTGTGGCTAGTTTCTTCTTCTTCTTAGTTACTTTGTCAGACTGCATGCTTACAAGGTGCACTTCTGCCCCCTGCTGTTTCTTTGAGGTTACATCATTTAAAAACGCAAACATCAAATGCGAAGCTTAATATGTTGTATTTCCCTAAAAGGTCACTGTATTTTAAGATGGTGCATGCCATATGGAGCACCGGTCTGCTTCTTTTGTCTAAAATATTAAAATATAAAGCTAATAATAATGCTTAGAATAAATGCTTGTTTGAATTATCATTAAAAAAATACAAATTTGAGAATGTGATACAAGAAATTTGATAACTTATAAGATGAAATATCACACATTGGGCCTTTAAAGGAATAGTCCATTGTGGCATTGACAGAGGGGTGCCGGCGGTCAGGGTTAGGGGGCCCCCAACATAAGGGGGCCCCAGGCGGCCGCCGACCTATGCCTAATGGTAAAACCACCACTGGTCTTGCCCAAGGACACAACAGCAGCATTCTCTGGCATGAGCCGGGATTGAACCTACAACCTTCCAATTACTTGACAACCCCCTCTACCTCCTGAGCTACTGCATTTATGAATTCATCATTCAATATTCCTGTTTAGTGGAGATGATTTACGGTCAGGCACCTCCGTGGACATCCAGTTAAGAAGTCTCAACATCCCGTTTCAGAAATGAGGGGTTTGATCCTATGACGCTGCTGCTATGCCAAGTTTAATAAAAGGTTACTTTAGTTTATGTGAAGATGTTAATAATTAGAGTGAATTCAACTTAGATGTTGCTGGTGTGTTTTAGCAGGTTGATGTTGTGTTTTCAGCACTATTTGTATTTAGTTTGAAATGTATGTATTTTTATATTTTTCTGTTACATTTATTATTTATACTCTACTGTTGATTTCGTTTTTTTACATCAGCATTATAAAATTACTGCCAAGTAACAGTTCTGTTTTATTTATTAAACATTTGGTCAGTGTGTTATCCAGCAGTCTAAGCCTATAGCAGCATAGCTACAGAGATAACTCTGGATAACATAGCCTTTTAGATAGAGGCATGTTGGAGGCAGGACAAGGGAGAGTCGTCTTTACCGACTGTACACTCCACCTCCCTCTACTCCCCCACTTGTCCAGATCTAGGCTAACATCAGATTTTAACCATAGGCCCTATCAAATAAAAATATTTTAAGCCTAGTCTTAAAAGTAGACAAGGTGTCTGCCTCATGGACTAAAGCTGGGAGCTGGTTCCACAGGAGAGGAGCCTGATAGCTAAAGGATCTGCCTCCCATCCTATTTTTAGATATTCTGGGTACCACCAGTAAACCTGCAGTCATATGGAACAATCAGGTCACTGAGTCCAGCATCAGCAACAGAAAAAGCCACACTGGTCGTTCTCTAGTGCAGATCAAACACATATTTACCTGTTAAAGACTCAGATAAAGAATGTCCCTGTCTAATAACAAAATAACAAAACTTCAGCCACTGAGAACAAAAAAAAAAAAACCTACACTCCAAATGGAAACAAACAGAGTTCATGAGAAAGAGGAGATTGTCTTTTGTCTTTATCAGCAGGTTTAAAGCTTAGCCAAAAGGTTTTACGGGGAAGTCCTGGGCTTACGACATTTATGAGCAACAAACAACTAGTTAGAAATGCAAAACCAAGAAGTTGTCCAGTGGATCGTTTAGCGTTTCTAAGAAACATGCCAGTGTGCTTTTGTGTGAAAAAGAACACAAAAGACCTGAGATAATAATGTTACCAGTGAACTGGTTATTTCTAGGAGACCAATCTACAAAAAGGAAATGAATTTCAGCTGAAACAAGCTATTATGTTTGCTTAAGACGTTTTGTTGGGAAAGTATTTACTTTCACCGGAACTGGGTGGACAGTTTTGACCTCCACTACTAGGAATCTCTGGAGCATGAAATGTCAGCAGGAGAACGGTTTTCATCTGATGCTCCAGATTCCTTTAAAACATGTAGCAACAAGCTCCAACATGCAGTCGGAGTGTTTTCTGTTTTATCTTGTGTTGTCTCATGTGTCAGACACACACACCAGGTCACTTTCTACATTAATGTTTAGTTTATAGACTCTGGGTAAAGTGAGGATGAGGAGAGACAATGAAGAGTAGAAACCTGTACGTGTGCCATTGGATAAAAAGCAGAAGTTGAACATCCACTCAGCTTACAGGCTGACAAACACACTTCTGCTCTCAGTTCATTGTGACTTAAAGGGGAAAATGTTTTTTTTTTCTAGTTTTATTAGGTTTGAATTAGGGGTGGGCAATATAAACGATATAAGGTAGAAACAATATAAAATTGGGTAATGATAGAGTTTTTGGCCATATCGCAATACCGCAACATCGCGATAACACATGACGTCACAAGGGATGGGTACCGAATTCGGTACTTTTTAAGGTACCGACCGAATTCCATAGTACCGACCGAGCACCGATTCACGTCATTTCAAACGGTGCCTCGTTTCGGTACCCGTCCTTCATAACGAGAACTTGCCAAGACAGCTGCGCATGCGCAAGAGCGTTATGTCGTCGCTCGCTGTGAGCCAGTTGTAAACAGAGCAGCATGGTAGAAAGAACGCACGCTAAAGCTTGGGTCCACTTCACTAAATGTGATGGGTAACTGGGTGATGATGAAACCAGCGACAACGATCTAAGTGAGACATCCTCATCTTAATCTGCTCCGGTAGGTAAATAAAATGTTTAAGATAACGTTAGCTTGATTTGTTAGCTTCCGTTTCACTAATGGTGCGTTCGCTTTCTCCTCGGAACTCCGAATTTCCGACTAGAAGAACATGAACGCGCTCTAAAGTTTGGCTTCACTTTAGTAAATGCGACGGGTGATTGGGTGAAGATGAAACCAGCGACAACGATCTAAGTGTGAGGCATCATCGTTTTAATCTGCTTCAGCAGTTAAACTGTTTAAGATAACGTTAGCTTGATATGTTAGCTTCCATTGCTACCATTGTTATCATCTAATGGTGCGTTCGCTTTCTCCTCGGAAATTCTAACTTCCCAGTAGGAAAAATCAATTGAAAAAGGACGGCAAAAGGAATGAAGATACACAGTAAATTTAGTTCACAGTAAAGATGTTTGCTTCAGTTTAATTATCAGCTTATAAAACTACAAGGACGATGTTAAAATACAAACAGTTGTATGTTATTTATTGTGATATTTATCAAATATTGTTATATATTGAGAAAAATATACATTTAATTATAAAAGAGAATTAAAATAATAAACAATCAAAAGTGTCGAAAATTGGTACCGTTAAGTACCGGTATCGATTCCGAGGTACCGGGAATTAGTACCGAATCGATTCATATGTCAAAGGTACCCATCCCTAGACGTCACCAAGATGTGCACCCTGCTGACATTGGGGCAACAGAACGGCAGTGACTGCAAGCATGGAGTGGGCGGAGGAGGAGGCTTATATGCCTCAAGTGGCATATAATTGCCACATGCGGATATTTAAAAGCATGTCATTTTGACATATATAAACAGGAAAAAATATATCACAATAAATATCGTTACCGCACATGCTTCAGATTATATCGCAATATAGATTTGAGGCCATATCGCCCAGCCCTAGTTTGAATCCCAGCTGCAGCACATCTGAGTGGAGTTGCATGCTCTCTCCGTGCATGCAAGGGTTTCTTCCCACAGACCAAAAACATGAATGTTTGGCTGACTGGACTCTAATTTGTCCCTAGGTGTGAGTAAATGAGTGTCTGGTTGTCTCTGTGATGGACCTGTCCAGGGTGTCTCCCAGATCTCATCCAATGACCGCGGGAGTTTGCTACCTCAGACCCTACTGAGGATTAAATCAAATCAAATCAAATCACTTTTATTGTCACGTCACATGTGCAGGTACACTGGTACAGTACATGCGAGTGAAATTCTTGTGTGCGAGCTTCACAGCAACAGAGTTGTGCAAAAATACAGTAACGTAAAAACAAGCAAAATATAAAAATGGCTAATCTAAGTAATAATATGTATAGTATGTAAGGTATATGCATTACTAAATGTGTGTGCTAGTATTTTATTTTATTTTTATTTTTTTTCTACGTGAGTGAGTGTGTGTATAGTGTGTATATACATATTTTACAAATGAATAGAGTAAACAATAAAATAAGAGATATAAAATATATAGAGCATAAGCAGTGATGAAAGTGAATGAGTGATCTTTAATCTGACAGAAAACAAGTTGTGAAATGTGGTTTAGTGCGCTGTGGGTGTCAGTGGAAAATTCAGAGCTGGTAAACCGGTCTGTCCAGGCAGAAGCAAATAAAAGACTGTTTATTTTAATCAAGCATTCTGAAACAGAAAGTTGTCTCCACTTTTTTTTCTACGCAGAAGAACTGGCAACAGTTTTTTTAACATACCAAACAAAAACATAAAAAAAAACTCTTTGGGTGTTGATTGGTTTGTGCGGTTGCCAATTAACCGCAACGGTGTGAAATGGCTACCATTTTTCCTTTGAGGCTTCAAATCCCTCAGCCGAATCTGAACCACGGGCTCCTATAACATGTTTTCTTTTTCCATGTTTGAAGCTTTTTTTTTTTCAAATGTTGTAAGGGCAATAATTAGGGCTGCACAATCTATCGCAAATATATCGTTATCGCGATATCAGCATGCACAATATGCATATCGCAAAGAACAGATGAAAATTGCAATGAATGGTTAGCTTAATTGTTTGCTAAACAATGCATTCTGTTAGTCAAACGGAAGCATTATGTCTTTTTTTAACAAATCAAATAGAGCTCTTCATCCATTTGGCCAATAAGGTGGGTTCCCATAGGTTACAGTTCCACCCCCGAGGCGGACGGCATTTAATTTTGATGGTTAGCAAACACCTGAGTTAGCTTTGTTCTGCTCTTTCTATTGATTCTGCTTTTCCCGTGATCCACTGATTGCCTTTTCTTGTTCATTTTCTTTTTCCCTTTCCTCACATCTTTTGCTTTTCTCATTTTCATGATTTTTTTAGTCATTTTTAAAAAAAATTGTTTTTGATTATTTTTGTTTCTGAGTAAAATTTTTATTTATCGCAAGTAATATCGTCATTGCAATATTAATCACTGTTATTGTGTATCACAGGTTTTCCTGATATTGTGCAGCCCTAGTAATATTGTTAACATGACTCAAGTGTAGCAGGTGAGAATGTAATGGTGAAAAGTAGGCGCAAAGCGACCTACGACATAGCCCTGGGCAATTAATCAAAAATTTATCGTTATCGAAATTTCTGACTCTTATCGTGATCATTTTTCCCATGTCAATACATCTGATAATAAAAAAATGAAAAGATGTGTGTGGGTTGGTGACATTCATGTCATAATTAAGAAGCTGTACCACCTTGAGTCACGTAAAAATGTGACTCAACAAATACATGTGACAGCCCCATCTAGTGGACAACTTTTGTTCCTGCGCATACCTGTAGTTATCGTCCATTTATCGTTATCGAGGTGAAATCCTCAATATATCGTGATATTAATTTTAGGCCATATCGCCCAGCCCTACTACGACCACAATAACTCGTATAAACCCCACACAGCAATCAGTTTTGCACAGAATCAACAGAACCACACTGCTGCCCTTTCAAAACAAAAGCTTTTCTTTTCTATTTGAAGGGTCATTGTAACCCCAACACAAAAGGGCCAAGTTCCTTAAAAATTGGTAAAAACAAAACAGCAAATGTTTCTTCTCTGTATAGCAGTTTCTTGCAAGTATGTGAAAGTGACAACATTTATTAATCCAGCCAACTTTCTCGAGCTGTGGAATTTAAATTGGAGGTGCAAAAGCAAAAATGGACAGCAGGCTTAGTTCTAAACACCTCCGCATTGGCTAAGTTTAATTAGCTGCGGTGGCCATCTTGAATTTGGCTACATTTAAAACTCAATCAGTTAAAAATGTATATTCAAGGATAAAAAGTTTCCATGCAATCAAGTTAGTGCTTTGATATGTTTTGACAAAAACTAAATTCTACATCAGTGTCTGTAAAACTGACTTGAGTTGTAGCCATGTTTGTTATCTTTTCTAATGTTAGCAAAAGATGTGGTAGGAATGAATGCCTTGTAAACCATAGGGGGGGTGGGGGGTGAAGGAGGGGTGCGTTGGGTGGGGGCTCAGGTTAACCTATTTCACAAATACAAGTATATATATATATATATATATATATATATATATATATATATATATATATATATATATATATATATTAAGGCTGGGCGATATGGCCTAAAATCAATATAACGTTATATTGAGGATTTCACCTCGATAATGATAAATGGACGATAACTACAGCCAAACAAACAACGGAAGTTTCGATTTCGCCATGGAACAGAACACGTAGACGGCTTTGCCGCTGGCCGCTGTCGCGGATTGCCTCCCGTGTGTCGAGCCCATTATAAGTTGGGTCACATTTATACATAACTCAAGGTGGTACAGCTTCTTAAAGCGACATGAATGTTGCCAACCTACACACATCTTTTGATTTTTTCAAATGAATATATTTATTGACATCAGAAAAATTATCCAGATATGTGTCAGAAATTTCGATAATACATTTTCGATTTATTGCCCAGCCCTAACATTATATATATATATATATATATATATATATATATATATACACACATACATATATATACATACATACATATGTATGTATATATATATATATATATATATATATATATATATATATATATATATATATATATATATATATACATACATATATGTATATATATATATATATATATAGATATATATACATACATACATATGTATGTATGTATATATATATATACATATGCATGTATGTATACATATATGTATGTGTGTATATATATATATATATATATACATACATATATGTATAACCTTTCTGAAATCCTAATTAAATTTTTTTTTTTATTTGTGTGTGATTTTTACAAACACGTTTACTGTATCTAGTATAAATAAAGGTATTTCAATCCTCTTTTGCAAATTGGGTCCGTGAAGTCCTGCTAACGTTCGCCTGTGTTATCACCTACATGTCTATGGTTATCACCCATATCTAGGATGAAGGACACTTTGTACTCTTTTAGATTGCAAATGCACGCATGGAGATAAACTAAACAGCATCATACTACACTCAAATCAACACTGGCACATTTTCCGTTTAAACGTGCGGAGCTTGAACGCACCATCGCTCTAAATAGGCAGCTCGTTTGACACAAAAAGCCTCTGGCGACGATAGAGAAGCCGACCAACTCTTTTTAAAGCGTCGTTTTTCTACCAAACCGCGTTTTCACCGACAGTAAAAGCCGCAAAACGCCTAAACTCGGTCACGTCACCACACACGTGTCAGGTAGACACGTAAACATAGCAGAGCCGATGTGTCGCCGGGTCACTCACCTTACAAGCTCCTCTACGGACGACCAGGGAGAGATCTGTACCCGTCATCTGCAGCTGCTCCGAGTCATCCACAGCTTTCACTTTCGGTCTGAGTCAGTAGGCGGGAGGAGGAGACCAGCTAATTCACAACAGACCCGGGAGATGATCCAGAGGATTAATGGCTGAGAGGCACCCAGAGGTGCAGCCTCATAAGCTCACAAACGATCTCGTAGCATGACAGGAAAGTCCTGACAGTGTTCCTGATCGGTCAGACGTTCCTAAAAAGGCTTTTTTGTTGTCGAGCAAACTTAGATGGAGCCATTTTTACTCATCTAAACGTACTGGACCCGACGCTGCCATGCAAGAACGTTAGGACTAACCCAGCTCTGATATTTGTATGATTTAAATGGATTTGCCTATTTAAAAATAAGCACCTTTTGCATTAAACCATAAAACAGCAACAGGTTATTTATGACCGAGGTGACACTGATGCACCAAACCCTGAAAGTGTGAAAGGTTGATCAAAGTTAATTTTCTTTAGGTCTTCCTTACACACACATAAGGGTTTGTTGTCACCTTTCCAAAGATAATAAAAACAGATCTGAATGTGTCCTTTTTATTCTCCGTGTTAATTTATAACACTGAAAAGTTGCTTAAACCTGCATCGTTTAAAATTCTCTATACATTTTAAAACACGTCTTTTTTTTGGTATTTGGAGCCATTATGGAAGGTCCAGAGCTGAAGATCTCTTATCTGAAATGGTCTGATGACTTTGTAGCCCTGTTTACTTCCATTTGTTTATTTTTTATTCAGGAGACAAGTGAGCGACCGGAAGTGGAGGGGGCTTCGGCTCCCTTTTAGAGTAGGATGTTTGACCTCTGAAGAGGAAAGCACAAACCCTAAATCAGAGACACGGTAAAAGACAAACCTGCATTTTGATGTAGAAACTGAACAAAAAAAAATAACATTTTTTGGATTAAATGGAATTTGTATTTTTTTAGAAAGTTTCGACAGCTCAAGAGCGTGACATCACTTTTAGGTAAACATTTCACTGTAAACTTAAAACATGATTATGTAGCACTGACACAAAAACACCAGCGTGTCGTGTGAAGTCCCACTTCCTGTGACCTGTCTGAATCCGATAACGGGGATTTACGACTTTTATCTACACCGCTACTCTCGTGATGACTTGACTGAGCCACATGTCTAGATATATTAGTGTGGGTTTTTCCAAAGCTGCAGGAGACGAACCAAAAACAAAACAACAGGTAACCAACAGCAGGTGCACTTCTGCTTACGCGACGACAAAACACAAAAACATCAGTGGACAAAACGGATCTTTAATGTTTATTTCCACTTGTGCCATTTCTTGGATCCAGATTTCTGCAGTGACTTACATCCAGGATGAAAGTTTAGTTTAAGATGCAAACACAAACAAGTGATGGCAACAGAAACTACACCACAGGGAAAAGCATGTTTGACCTGCAGGCGGTGGGCGCAGCCGCCGCCGTGCACAACAGTTATCAGGGTTGAATCTTGTTCACGTAGAAAAAGATGGATTTTGATTTTCAGTGTGCAGGAATATTACGTGGAGGTAAAACACAGAAAAGAAGGCTGGGTTGTCATAAGGTCACTTAGAAGTCAGGACCAACAACATAGACAAGAGAGGAAAAACAAAAAACAGACAGCTTCTTTATACGGAGACAGGGCGTGATAAACACAGGGTATCTGCAGGCTTAAGGGAGCCAAATTTAAGACTTTTTAAGACCTTTTTTAAGGCCACTTTGACCAAATTTAAGCTTTTTTTTCCCAATTAAATTTAATAATTTAATTATAATTTCCAGCTATTGCCTGGAACCGGTGCTAACCACGTTGCGAACGTGGGATTAGCCATCTAGATGCCATTAAACTTGCACTTCCCCATGGCGCAAGCTCCCACTAGCTTAACCAGCTAATGTGCTCATCTAAAAATAGCCCCCTTTCACAACCAACTGAATGTGTACGGTTCCACTTATGCAAATGTCATACAAAAAAAAAATGCTGAACACAAACTAGAAATTCACACAAAAAAAAATTAGGAATAAAATAGTCTTATTAATTGGGTCTTTGGTAATTTAAGACCGTTGGAAACTGATTATTTATCATTTTTAAGGATTTTTAAGGCCTTAAATTTGGAAAAGCAAATTTAAGACTTTTTAAGACTTTTTAAGGACCCGCGGATACCCTGAAACATAAATAAATAAACCAGGACGTTGGTGTTGACCGGCAGTGTGACGAGCACACCAGCAGGTGCACTTCAGTCAATTTCATCTAAAAATTGGGGCACTTAAAATCCGCACTGGGGTTCCAATAAGCACGGGAAGAGCCGCGCTCTTCTGAAAATCAAACGTCTTCCAGAGTAAAATGTGGCAGAATTCATGTGGGTGGATTTCAATACTCGATCAGCAGAACGATTTCAACGTCATGCAACAACCGTACGACTATTTCACAAATTAAAAATTCAACAACAAAAAAAAAACTTCACAGTAAAATGTTTAAATCACATTCGCTCCGATCAGACGTGCATGCAGGATGAGAGAGAGAACGAACGCCATGCCAAAGTTTCCATCTTTGCTCGTGTTCCGCCGCCGTACCGGAACGTCACCCACCGCTTGTGCTGTTGCAGGAAAGTTTATGAGGTTTATGACGCCGTCATGGGAAATACGAGCCTCCTACCCTTCCTGACAGGCCTCATTTCAGGGGCAAAGAGCGTCCTCGAACCATAAAAACATTACATAAAGTGCTTCTGTCTAAATAAACAAACAATAAAAACAGTAAAAAACCGTTCCCAGAAAAGACGTATCAAAACAATGCACTTGGAGGAAATGGAGGACACCAAAGGACTCCTGCACTACAGACGGATGAGCGGGAGAGTTGTGTTTTGAGGAAAGAAACGAATAAAAGAAAGAAACACGATGAGTTCAGAGATGAACGGAGGTAAGGAGGGTAAGTTGTGTGGCTTTAGCCCAGAATCAGGCTGGACTTGCCCCCGGGAGGGTTTCGACGACCAGATGGTGCTCCTGCAGCAGGCTCCTCGGCCTGAGAGGGGTCGTCCTGCGGCTCGGGAGCTGGTTCTGGATCAGCAGCGCAGTTCTCTAAACGCAGATGTGGAGACGTGTCACATTTGCATCCCAGCCAGGTTCATCCCCATGTCCCCTTCTGGAAATCCTAAACACATTCTGCGTGTGTGCGTGTGTGTGTGTGTGTGCGTGTGTGTGGTGGTGGAGTTATCCTAACCCAAGAATAACGTTTGCTTTCCCCTGGCTTTATTTTCAATAGTCGTGTCTTGGTTCATCACTGAAACTGTTGGACAGACGGTCAGTAGCAGAAATGGTAGAAGACATTTTCTATGAGGTCATTGCGTGACGGACTTCCTTAAATGTATTTTCTGTCCTTCTTTTTGGTTTTTATTGAAATGAATTTTCAGAGATGATTGTGGAGGAGACTAACAAGAGTGTAAAGACAGGAATCCTGCTTACCGTTCTCACCTACTGAATTCTCTCCATCCTAAAGGAAAGAGAAAAAAAAGAGTTAGCTGCAACTTCCTGCACGAGCTCGAAGCCAAACATGGACATGGAGTCACATAAACATGCCCCCGAGCCCAGCACTTCCTCTTGTTAAGAGCTCAAGCAGCACTTCTCTTTTGTTGTTCTGGTCATCTTCGGAGTCGAACGAAGCTGTCCTCCGATCAGTTTAAGCCCAGGTTTAGCTAGGCGCGTTTACACCTAAAATAAACTGTGCAGGAGATTAACTGCTTAAGCATCTTTACTGCAAATCTAGTATTTAAAAGGAATCACAGGAAAATGTGAGTACATTTGTCCAGAAAGACGACCCCAGCCCTCAGAGACTCAACATTATGTAGCTAATACCAAACATTCCCCTTTGATCAGATTTTTTATCCCAACTATGTTAAAATAACAAAAACGATTGAACCGTAGTCCTAGTCGTGTCTGTGGATCGTGATGAATGTTGATACCATGGCACGCAGCTCTCCAGAGTGATTTGCAGCCGAGTTTCCACCTCTTCTCAGGGGGGCAGATGACTCTCCACACAGCACGCCTGAAGGCTTCCCTCCTGGAACATCATGGGTCACAGGTGAGATGTGTTACACCAGGTACCAAACAACAGGAATAAAAGCTAAGCATCCAGACAGGGTGGTGGAAATGAAACGGTGTGTTCAAAAAGACGTAATAATTATCAGATCCAGATGATAATGGAGTTAGCAGAACAGGAACATTGGTGGTTCCATGCCAGTGGGGCGTGGCACCCGTCAGTTGGAAGTTGATGCAGGTGTTCCTTCTCCTGCCAAAAGGTTGGTTTATGCTTGACACGTCCGCGAGGTCCGCGCGGCAAAATTGCGTCATTTTAACAACCACGCCCCTCCACCGTCTCCGCATGGCCCAAAATTTCCGCAACGTGCACCTAGGAAACTTTCTGGTTTATGCTCGACGCATTCACTTTCCGCTTGGTGATGCGGCTCGCGGATGGAACGCGCTTCACAACTAGCAGCGTTTATGGTTCATGCGGCTCGTCTCTGCGGTGAGCCAATATTCTCCCAAACTGTAGGGGGCAGCATGGAGCTCTACGGCATGCATCCAACACTACACCATAGTAGAAGTAGAAATGACTGTTTACAACATGGCATTCCAGCATTTTTAACAGCGTCCTCGTCTTTTCCGACAGTGCGAGCTATTTCTCTCCAAGAATTATTAACAACATGTTGATCACGGTGATCTCTGAGAGCTGAATCATACAAATGTCTGTATTTACGAACCTCTGCCGTACTAGTTCTTGCCGGTCTGCCATGTTTTTCCGCGTCCGTCCATCCGCGTGGTTAGAAATTTTCCGAGGTGCGCTGTGCGGAGATTTTGGGCCGTGCGGAGATGCGGTGGAGGGGCGTGGTTGTTAAAATGACGCAAAATGACGCAACTTTTCCGCGCGGAGTTTTGCGGACCTCGCGGACGCGTCAAGCATAAACCAACCTTAAGCACGCAGACGGTCAGACGCGGAAAAACATGGCGGACTGGCAAGAACTAGTATGGCAGAGGTTGGTAAATACAGACATTTGTATGATTCAGCTCTCAGAGATCACCGTGATCAACATGTTGTTAATAATTCTTGGAGAGAAATAGCTCGCACTGTCGGAAAAGACGAGGACGCTGTTAAAAATGCTGAAATGCTGTGTTATAAACAGTAATTTTTACTTCTACTATGGTGTAGTGTTGGGTGCATGCCGTAGAGCTCCATGCTGCCCCCTACAGTTTGGGAGAATATTGGCTCACCGCAGAGACGAGCCGCATGAACCATAAACGCTGCAAGTTGTGAAGCGCGTTCCATCCGCGAGCCGCATCACCGCGCGGAAAGTGAATGCGTCAAGCATAAACCAAGCTTAAAGTCAACCCACGTCTGCTGTAACCAGCCCAAGACCTGGCGGATTGGAGAAAGTTCAGAAGATGGCTAAAACAACAACATGTCAGTGTTCCAGAGCTGACCTGGGGTCAGACAACAGGCGTGTTTCCACTATTGGAACTCCTGGGTAATTTCACTGGACCTCCGCGGTATGCGTGTCTCCACCACAGGACCAGCCTGACAGCACCGTTTTCTGGGCCATTTCAGGGACCAACGTAATGCCTGAAATGGGTTATGTACTCGGAAAGGCCCAGTGAGATTGCTAGGTGAGACTCGTGGTTAGGAAATGACATCAGCAGACGTTTCTAAACAACCAGCATTTGTAAAAGTGGAAGTGTTGCTGGTGAAGCAGAGTGGACGGAAAAGAAAATAAGCAATGTTAGAAATCAGTTTCTAAACTCCCAACCAACACCGAAAGAAACGATGGAAATCTTCTGGTCATTGATTGCTACATTGTATGTCACACAGCTGCTCGCCTCACCTCCGGATGGATTAAATGACGGTGTACTTTTGACAGAATAGAAGCTCTCATGTTAATGATGTCCGTGGACACCTTTTGGCACTGATCATGTCACCCACTAACAAAGAAGCCACGATCGGCTGACATCTTAGCCAAGTTTATGGTAAATGGCCTGTGCCTTCTAAACCCCCCAAGACGCTTTACAACACAATCTGGGGTTCTATGGAGATACAACATCTGAGAGGACCGGGCCATCGTATCTCCATCTAGTCATTTTTCTCTCTCCCAGAGATTTTGCAGATTTCCCATAATGGAAACACGGATTATGGCTCCTCCCACCACATGAGCAGCTACTGACCCCTTTTCATGGCACCTTAATGACACCATAAAAATGTAACAGATTTATTTATTACTTTTAATCATTATCATTATCACTGATGGCATTACTCCTTTTCTTTCCAGTGTCTTGTCAGAACTGATGTCTGAGCGCCTAACCCTGCCACGCCTGATACCAAAACTTTATTACAAACATTTTTTAAAGCCCAACGGACTCAGAGACAGAAATTCATGAGAAAGGGGGGAGAGGAAAGGAAGGGGTGGGGAAAATAAAGTTCACAAAAAATGTACAAGAATCCACTTCTAGCAGCAGAAGCTGTGCCAGAGGCCCGGGGGATAACAATGGCAAGCCCCCAGGCCCACCCACACACTCCGGGGCACGTCAAGCTCGGAGCTCAGCGGCCCAGGACCCAAGGGCGCCCAACCCCGGCAGAGACCCAATGGAGCCCAGGGATCTGGACCCTACCAGGATGCCACTGGGAAAAAGCAGGCAGATGCCAAAAACTTCCAGCCCTCGACACCGAGAGCTGGCCGAGGCACCACCCACCAGCAGGAAATGTTGCAGGAGAAGTGTAGGCGAGGATGTTGTAGCACCACAAGATGTCCCAGGAGAGGAGAGGTGTCCAAGACCCCGCCTGACATATTCAGTCCCACACTCCCACCCTCATGCTCACACGTAAACACAAACTAAAGACAAACAACGTCATACACCCCATCATACTCCCCATACACACCCTACACAAACCCAACTGCAATCCCTTTTGGGTGATCAGCACCCCACCAAATCCTACCTGAGCAGTCAAACACACAGCCTTACGGAAAACCATACTGCATAACCTTCTTTTAGTGTTTCTGGCTGACTGCTGGACACTGATAACAAAACACACTCCCTGGTGTGTGTTTTAGCTTGCCCAGATCCTTGTAAATCTAATTATTTACATACCCATCTTTGCTCTGCATGTGCATCAAACTACACCCAAACCAGACTATTTCTTCTGGCTGCACAAACCGATCAGTCTACATCGAGGCCAAGTCACTGCTCTAATTAGTAAGAGCCAAGAAAATCCTAAATGCACGGTTCCCCCATAAAACTTGCTAAGCCTGGTGGTAGAGAAGCCCACAGGTGGCCGATCGTGTTTTTTGTTAAAAAAAAAATAGTTGTCAGAGAGTTTAAAATTATGACTAGAATGTATTGTTATAAGCTATTTATTAACAATACTAAATACATACAAAATTTTAATAAATAATAGTAAAATTTTCACTTAAATTTTATTGATATCAAATAAAGTCATTGCTGGTCACAAAAAAACAACAACAACAAAAAAGTGCAAATATGGCAAATGGGTAAAACCTGGGAACTCAGAGGCTGAGGAGGTATGCTGTGCTGTCAGACCTCTGCTTCTAGAGGACTTCCAGGTTAAAGACTAGCCTAGTGAACTAGACCAAATTCTTGCTTTGCAAAGGTTGGTCTTGGAACGCTCCATTGGAACCTCTGCAGCCCCTAGCAGCATTCTGGCTGGCCAATCACAGCTCTCTAGAGCAGGGGTGTCAAATTTACGGCCCGCGGGTCGGATTCGGCCAGCAAGCGGGTTAAATCCGGCCCACGAGATGGTTGTGTAAACTTTATTTTCCTACTTTACAATGTAGAGTGAAAATAAACGTATCTTTGTTAACGAGGTTTCTCTGTAATGAGTATAAATAAAACAAAGCTGCGCTCAAGGCTCACACAAGAACATGAATCACATCCTGAAGATGGCCGCCACTCAGGATGTGACTTCTGATGTTGATGTGCTGGTGAAAGCTAAAAGATGTAAAGTAAAATGAGTCAAATATACTTTAAGTGCTGCATGAAACTGATCTAGCCATGTGATCTGTAAGCTCTTTGAATCACTAAGGAATGTTTTTTTTATTTATTGATTTTTAATTTTTTTCAAATTTTCAAATACACTTCAGGTGTTGTACTTGTACTATTTTGGATACACTGTCCTCAGAATCCAGCTTTGTTTTATATTGATTGTATTAAAACAAAGAAAACAATCTGAAGTTGTTTTTAATTTACCGGTCCGGCCCACTTGGGACTAGATTTCCCTCGATGTGGCCCCTGAGCTAAAATGAGTTCGACACCCCTGCTCTAGAGCATATATATATGCCTTAATAATCAGCTTTCGATATCAGTCATTAGCAACAAAATTCTTTAAAAATCTGTCGGTAAAAAAAAAAAAAAAACATTAAAAAACCATATCGGTCGGCCTCTACTCTAAAGCGCTGGTGAGCTGTTTGAACTTTACTGGGAAAGTTTTTGTGACGTTTCTAATAAAAGGGTAGGTCAACAAGTGGGAACACACTGCCCGCTGTTAGGTCCGCGACAGTCTGACCCACATTATGCCTGACATTCATATGGAACCATGTTTCTTTGTCACATTCTACAAGAAATTTACTCTGCTTCAGAGAAAATAACTGAATGAAAAGGTTCCACTTTCACTCTGAATACAATAGCTCACAATAACTAGATATTTCAGTTGAATCAAAACCAAATTAGTCACTTCCTGTTGGAAGGGATTTTCCTCGACCTCTGGGTCTCTGACCACTGCTCATGCAGAGGAGTAATTAAGGATTGATATTTTCCCCCAAAGAAAGAATTAAAACTCCACACGTCACCAACTACCACTACACTGCACCATTTGTATAACTGTAAAGCACATTGATTTGCCTCTGTGTTTGAAATGTGCTCTTATAAATAACGCTGCCTTGCCTTGTGTACTTTGTAGGGTTTTAGCTTTTTTTTCCACTTAAGTGCGTTAAAACTCCAACAGATATGATGTAAACGATAAGACATGGGGTGACGGTGGCACAGGAGTTAAGTGCTCGC